AAAAAAATAAGCACTTAGAAAAAAAGGACGAGCCAAAAGCTTGTCGCCCTCGCCTTATTGCCGAAAATAGAGAATTAGAGAATCAGAGTAACCAAGACACAAAGGAAAAGAAGGGCCAGAGAAGAACCTGTTGCTCCCCCCTCCCCGTGCCCTGCCAGCCCCCAGCGCCGTGCCCGAGGCTCCTGTCACCATCTCAGCATCCTTTAAGCAACAACAACTACGAAAAACAGAAGGGAGGAGGAGGAGGAGGAGGAGGAGGAGGAGGTGGGAAAAAAAAAAAAAGCAAAAGAAACCCCTTAATATAACAGTTACACTATGGTTAGGCTCTGGCTACATACACAAAGAATTCTGCCTACGTGGCTACAGGACTATGTCAAAAAGGCTACGAAAAGATGTGGGGTTTGGAGAGGCTTAAAAAGAGGGTGTGGGGGAAACCCATCGAGAAAATAAAACCAACAAGAAATGGGTTTTTATATACATACTTTTAAAAGCTGTTGTTTTTATAGTACAGCAGATTCATGAGATGATGAGAGAGAGATTTTAAACAACCCAAGTCCTTCGAGTGCCACCTCCAGTTTGCGTTGGCGGGGATGGTGGTGATGATGATGATGATGATGATGATGATGATGTTGTGCTCAAAGTCTGATGAGATCACCCAACCGTGGGCCCCTTCAGAAACTTCGCCCTGTCTTGCCCGGACATCCAGAGAGACTCTGTGTGGGAGAAGGTGGACAGGGACACGGGACAGGGACAGTTAATTGAGCTCCGTTAGGATTTTTAACAAAAAAACCCCAAAAAACAAAAAAACAACCTCGAAGTGTTTGCAAACACTCTGTGGCCCCGATCCACCCCGAGGGAGGATGAGGAGGGACCTGCTGGAATGCTGAGGTGCTCCCAGGACAGCCCCCAAAGGAGAGGGGGTCTCATTTATTCCCTGCTCTTATTTCCAGCTCCATCCCAGCTAAGCCCGGACTGGGGCTTTGCTGAGGGCTGGGCTGGTTTAGGAACAGTACAGAGTTGATGCAGGGCCAGGACAAAAACGGTTCCTCAGGCACCTGTTAGGCCATGAATTCACATGGCTTTGGTAAAATGAGTTTTCTCTGGAGTACCTGGAAGGTGACAAGTTTTACCTGGGCACACTGAGGTGGCCAGGATTTATTTTCTTATTTTATTATTTTATCCTGGAGCTTCAGCCTCCAACGCTCCGTCCCTGCCAGTGCTTACAGCTGAGATCATGTATAAAATACATAAATATTTCGGGCTCTGGCTCTGCAGGCAGCTGCTCAGGGGGCGAGGATGCTCCCTGGTCGTTTTGGGATGACCTCCAAAACCCATCCCCAAATATTCCTGCTCGGGGTGAGGTCCCAGCAGCATCCTGATCCCTGCCCCCAGGAACTGCAGCTCAGCCAAATCCTGCCCTGGGGAATGCCAGGACCAGCCACAAGCCTTTCAAACTCACTGTTCCTTGAGGAATTAATAATAAGGCTCATTTCCTCCTCTCAAAATCCATTTTAATTAGTAATGAGCAACATTAAAAGCACTTTGTTTTTAAGTCGTTAATGGTTTGAGTCTCCACGCTGGCCAGTCGGTGATGGGTGTGCTAAGTGAGGAGTGATTACAGCCCATCCATCTCGGGGCTGCCATCACTGCCTGTTATTAGCCTGACTTATGATGCTCTGCTCGGGCTCCAGCTGGCCTCGGGATCCTCCTCACTGTTCCAGAGGCTGACGGCCCAGGAAACGGGAAGGATTCTGACAAATGGAGCAGCCAACAGACACTGCTACGTGCAAGGCAGGGCTGGGATGAAGCAAGAGCGCTTATGGCACTTCCTTCTTCACCATAAAAAACGCTCCTTGGTGGAGCAAATCAATTGACAGAACAATTTCAGGTAATCTTGGGGGTGTGTGTGTGTGTGGAGACAGAGAGTAAACAGAAACCCCCTTGATCCACTAGTGTTTAGGTATAAATCTATTTTTATGGAGTTTAAAGTCTCTGAACGTTTTCTGCAGTTCCCAGCGCCTTGACTAACTTTATTTCTAATTTCATAGAGCGATTTTTGAATGTAAATGATGTGACATTGATCATGCAGTGCTGGGCAGGAGGCAGGGATATAAAATCTGTCTCACCCACTGCATCTGCCTGTCCGGGCTCGGAGCTCTGGAGGCAAAGCCCTGCCATTTAACTGGGATAACTCCTGCATTTTCTAATCTCTTCCATTCCGAGTGTTAAGAATATTTGTTTGCAAAGATGAATATGCCAAAGGCCAAATAATAATAAAAAAATAAAAATTAAACATTTAATTAACTGGAGCTTAGTTCAAAGGGTAGGAAACTGGAAGCGATCCAGGGCTGCGGTGCTCAGGTAATGCCTTTAATTTAATTTGCTCAGGTTTAATTTTTTTTTAATCTTGATAATTGCTCTATGGTTACAAGTTACAATGTTATCTTTTAGCTGTAATATTTGGTACAGCACTTAATTAAGAATGATGGTTTCTCAGCAATAAAGCAGTGGGGCTCAGCTATTTTTAAAACCAGTGTGCTGGGAGCAGATCTCTGATCCCTTTGGGATTCTGGCTGCTGGCACTGGGGGTGATTCCCCACAGCTTTCTGGGTTTTCTGCCTCTTCAAATTATTGCATGAAGCATCATGAAGATGAGAAAGTGACTTTTGGGGGAGTTTAGCTCTGGATCTGTCTTCCAGTTTCCAGCCCGTGAGGTTGATTTGAGTAACACAAATCACAGAAAGGAATGATTAAAGGCCAAGGAAAGACGAAATGAAGATAAAAAAAAATTGTTCACTTAAAGTAAATATAGGGGAGATGGTAGTTCAGCACAAAGTACAAATGGGATATACTGTAATACCTCCAAGTGAGATGGCAACCAACCATGTGTAACGTTTCAATGGTATCCATTTGTAAAAGCCGTTGCAATCAAAGGTCCCTAAAATTGTACAATTGTTAAGTTCATCAGTGCTCTAGACATGGGAACAGCTGATTATTAATTTTGCCAAGAAATTATCAAAGGACTTGAAAGACTGTGTTGCCAGCATGAATAGGGATTTCCAAGAGCTGTTCTGGTCACCAGGTGTGCTCACCCCTATGGTCACCTTTCCAAGACCATCATCTTCTCATTCCCCCAGGTGCAAAAATAAGCTTTGGGGTTGTCTCTTCTTTATTTTTAAACCAGGGTTAGTAAATGGAGAGTGTTAAATAAATATATATGTAATAAAAGCTAGGGGATTCTTTGCAGTTATTGGGGGAATTAAGAGGCTGCCAATCTGCAAGTCAATTACAAAATGGTTCTTTGGGAAGTGTTAGTGCAGACAAATGTGGATACCCAGGCTTGGACCTGGTGTCCTATCACTTGAAAAATGGGGATGTTGCCGAGACCAAAGAGCCCAAGTTTTCAAGCTCAAACAGGTTTTTAGGTGAAAAATGGAAATATGAGGTGTTTTAAGTGGTGAGAGGGGGCAGTCTGAATGGATGTAGCTCCTTGCAGAGCAGTAATGTTCATTTTGTGCTAGAATTGATCCACAGGGATTGCCAGGTCCATGGTGTGACCATGGGAGGGGCAGGCCCAGGATGGGAATTGAGCACAGGGACACAAAGCCAGGCAGAAAGGTTTGTTTGTCTTTTTTATCCAATAAAAAAGAGAGTTTCAGGAACTTTGTCTGCACTACACTCCTGCTCCCCACATCCAGTTCCATCAGGGAGTGAAGATCTCCTCTTGGTTTGAGGGACCTTCAGGGGAGCCTCTGCACTTCCTCATTGTCCAGGAGACAAAAATCCAGCTCCTGACTGTGCCCAAAAGGGGCAGGAGCCTGGGTTGCAGTGGTGCTGGGGGTGCCAGCGGGGCAGTTCCAGCCCCATTCATGCTCACACACAGGTGACACAGCCACGTGCAGCCTCGTCAAGCCAATCTCTGCCCTCATTAGTGCAGTTCCAGCCCCAGCTCGGTGTTAGCAGCACCTCCCACCAGCCCCAGCCCGGCCCCTCGCCCGGAACCTGCAGCTCTAAGGGATGCCAGGGATGTCAGGACAGGCTGGAAGTGACCCCAAAGGTCAGCAAACAGGTGAAGAGGAGCAGGAGGTGTCCTGGAACCCTGCTAGGGGTCCCAGCAGCCAAATTAATGAGCTAATTTAGCTCGTTTAGTGGGCAGAGACTGTTGCTCTGCCAAAGGGTGCACCAGCCAGGAGGGGTAGTCGGGTTGATACAAAACCCATATGGCCAAGCAGGGATTTAAACCCCACATTTATTAAATATTGCCTTTTGAGACACACCATGGCTGGCTGCAGACGGCTCCAAAGGAGTGTTTGCACCAAGGGGTGTTCGGGTTGGATATTAGGAAAGAATTTCATCAGTGCAAGAGTGATTGAGATATTAGGAAACGATTTCTTCAGTGTTTAGAGTGATTAATTACTGGAACCAGGGCAGTGGTGGAGTCACCATCCTGGAAACAATTTGTGATTTGGTCTGGTTCACGAGGTGGTGATTGTCCAGAGGCTGGTCTGGACGATTCTGGATCTTTTCCCATCTCCACGATCCCAGCTGTTCCACCCTGGCAACCCGAGCTCGCTCCAGCCGCTCACCCGACAGGTTCCGACGGCGAGAAGCCGCGCTCGCCGCGGGGCCACCAACACCAACACCACCCCCAAAAAAACCCCAAAAACCCCAAAAACCCCACCCAAAACCCCCCCCCCGGGGCCAGCACGGGGCTACTTACGGCGATGCCGTGTCCAAAACCCGAGCCTGGCTGCGGGCTGGCGGCGCTTATGTAGTTGCCCACGGCGGAGTCCTGGCTGGCCGTGCCGTACAGATCCGCCACGGGCCCGGGGCTGTTGGCCCCGGGGAAGCCTCCTGGCCGTGCTGGGTTGGAGCCTGCCGGGGAAGCGGGTGCGCCAAAATTCGGTTGAGCACTGTAGCTATTCAAGACTGGTGTGCAGAGAATAAAGCTGGGTATGAGGCCAGACGCCGGGCATGCACCGGAATTTACAAAAGCCAAACACCAGAATAAACAGCCTAGGCCCAATTCTAACACTTAACCAAGGCCATGCGAGAGGAGAGCAAGTACTGGAGAAGAGTCAGCCCGGACTACTACGAAGCTTAGAGCTCCAAAAATATATATATGGATATATATAAAAAAAAAAAAAAA